TATATATATATATATGAGTGATGGATGATAATCTACCTGCTCGCATGGCTGCATCCAGACCACCGTGATTCGAGGGGGGAGAAGAACTGGCCATCAGACATGTCTTAGACCTTGACGCATGCGCACTGGACTCATGATGTTATTATAATATACCCACATGGTGTGTGTTAGTACTGACTTGTTGGTCTCTAGCGAAATCCGGAGGGCAAACTTTGAATTCAAACACAAAGGACCACAGTTGCTGCAACAGATGTTAAATATTCGTCTGCGATTTAATCCGAACAAAAGCCAACTGAAACCTGAGTTATTTTAGACTCAGTTCGTCACAATATTGTATCAGTAGTTGTCGGCCTTGAAATCCAAAAGAGAACCATATTAGATTCAACACTGATGATAGAATATCAGATGTCACAATAGATGTACAATGACTAATTTGTCTGAGATTAAATCCTTTTTTAAAGAAACATTCTAGTTATTGTAAAACAATAATTCCATCAGATCTGACATTAGGACCGTTCAAACTCTAACTGGGATCAGAGAAGCGACACCTCCAATTTATCTCGTATTACCAGTCCGCCCTTGATGGCAGAGCGTCCAAATCGGAAAGAATCGTCAGTTAACAGGTTAAGTCTCATCTGTTTCTTCAGTACCGATATTCTTCAGCGTTGAAATACTTTTTTTTTTTTTAAGTTTGATCAACAAACAAACTAGTAGATACATGTACTTGAATATATCGATATTCATCAGCGATTAAATGCTTTTTTAAAAAGCGAGTACTTAATCAAAAGTGAAAACTAAAAACAGATGAGCATTCGGACACAGCTTAAATGTCCGTGGGAAAATCAGGGGAAAAATAAATGCCTTTTAAAACACTGAAACGTGCATTCTTTTAATAAAGTTACACTGTACTGGTATCTGCCTTACTTGTTGATAATGAAATTCGAAGAAAAAAAACAGTCATATCTATCCATTCAAACCATAAACATTACATCACACTGGCCACAATATAAGATCTATATTGCTCGTTAGTGATGAAATCCGATCAAAATCCTCGACTACCTATTGAAAACTGCAAACTGTTTTAGTTATGCTTGTCAGGCTGTAAAGAAATCCGTGGAAAAGAACCACAGACTCAAGTCTTTAGGATCACGGTGACTTTGAACAGATCTCTAATGGTTAGCTCTGTAATCCGAAAAAAAACCGTTTTACTCAAC